GTGGGTTGAGAGGTCTATCCGATAAATTAACAATTATTTTATTCATATCATGTGTGTTAGACCTATTTTCCATCTGTTGAACTTTGGTGTTTGATGAATATTTCAATAGTTTTTCAAACGTCCTAATTTGTCGTTGTTTTGATGATTGATAATAAAATTGTTCTCTATGTTTGAAAAAATTAATTATATCTGATCTTATTTCGTTCGGTGCGATAACTGACAATATGTCATCGATATTGCAAACCCTTGAACTTAGTGCCTCCAAATTCATAGTGGCCTTGTGTATACGTTCTCTAATAAATGTTCTAGTGGCTGATATCGCCGCTTTGATTAACCGAATAGAATTGTCCGGAGATTTGACCATCAGAGATTTTGGAAAGACATTTCGTTTTAAGCATCGTATATTAAAAATTCTGTGATTGTACCAGTTATGTATTTTCTTTGATAATTTAATTCGATTGGAAAATAACTTATACGAATATTCGTCAAGATTAGAACGAATAGTTTGACAGTAATTGAGCGCCGAGTATAGAGAAGTCATTATATGTGAAAATTATATTTGAAATATTCTCAGCGATTGAAATATAACTAATTCCAACGTTTCGTCCAGCTAACTTATCTGGACTTCTTCAAGGTAATAATCAAAATTATCAAAGAAATATATAGCTTTTTAACAATCAGGATTATAGTGTGTTAAACCAATCATATTTGGATGTTGATTTTGTAAAATAGGATAAAATGAGTCAGTTAACTACAAATCATGTGGAGAATTCAACTACATGGAAATACTTAACTGAGTAACAAATCGTATGTGTGTGAGTGTGTAGGTATGTATGTATGTGTGAGAGATCTACTGTGTGTTTGATTTCTTAAAATAGGAATTCAGGAAAAGCGTGATATTCAAAAATTCAACATCACGGTACAGTAATTCTTCTTGTACACTGCAACAACTTTGACCTTGGGATGTGACCAGATAGATAATAATATGTGCTGAAAAAATTCGATCGGAAACTTTTTATTTGTTAGAACTGCCATTTATTAACAAAAGCAGTGCAAAACTAGATAATTTGAAACCTTTCTAACAGTAGTTTGGAAGGGCTTTTCATATCACTTTCTTTCTGTTAAAATTCGTTTATTACTGAGAGGTAATAAAAGGCTAACTTCCTTTCTATTCCTTTATAAAACGCTATCTAATTAGTCCAGTAGAAATAATAAAAATGTTAATAAAATACATCCAATACAGTTATTGTTTAATGGTTGAAGTGTCCGATTTTCGACCTCTAAACCACTGGTTAGAGTCCCGTTCTATCTACTTCGACTTGGACAACCGGGTAGTATCGTTTGTCCTTAACACATTTCTAGTACGACTCTAAACCAATTACAAAAATTTGTACCTGGTAAATAAGTTGCAAATTTCAAGGTATATGCATAATGTAACGGTTTTTTGATGCTTTTCTCTTTCTCCTTTAATCGTTGTATAAAAGTTTCTGACTTTCTTTGAAGTTATTGAGTTTTACTACTGATGTAGTGAGTGAAAACTCTGGTACTGCAAACCAGTTTATTATTTCATGAAAATCACACATTGCCTTTGTAAAATATAAAAATCATACATTGAGTACATCCTTTGCACACCTTCCTTCAATTGTCCTTTACACACTCCATCATTCTTCTAATTCTGTCGCTATTCCGATTGCTCTCTGTCTTCCTTCTTCTCTTTATTTCAGTCTTTTGCTGGTAAGCATTCCACTATATACTATCTGTATCTGTTCACATAAGAGGCTCACATCACACTATCACATATCTCGCCCTCATACATTAAATTTAACCGGGAACAGTATATAAAGTTGTTGTTGGTCATCAAGTTAAATAATTGATTACTACGCATACACAGAATATAAAGCGTAAATACTATTGTTAGGTACTAAATTACTTTGTTTTTTGTCTGTTACGTCACATTCGATTTATTATCTGCGTACATTTAGTTTAAAGTCAGACATATATTATAAGATATCTATCTTACTTGTTTCTCTTTTTATATCAAAAAGTAGTCGTCTATCATTTGATTGTATAGATGTAATGTAACCAAAATAGTCAGTTCATGGATTTCAACTTTAATGAGGTCAGCAACTGGATTTAGTGTCCTTTTCTATTAAGAAATCATCAAACATCTCAATTCGTTTTTAGTTCCCATTTTGAATTATACATGATAAATTATATCTAGTTGCCGCCAACTACCTAACATCTATTAGATATAACTACTGGAACTAAGAAATTTATTGTTAAAGAAAGCAAAGACAAAGATTGGTACAGAATAATATAAATGCATTTTCGTTAAGTTCTCATCAGCTGTTTGCAACCTATAATATTTTAAAATCAACTTAAATTCAAAAGTGATGTGACAGGGTCAATCAACAAAAGACTAAAAACCGCATTGACAGGAGCTTACCTTGCAGCTTAACTAATTTTCTTGTCCAAAATAACATGTTCTTTAACACAAAGATCAATAGATATCCCTTACATGTTACCATTAACTGTGTATACAGATCAACATGTATCTTCCGAATCAGTTATATTGGTAAGACAGAACGGGGAGCCTACGTCCGATTCAAAGAACATATTTTAAAAAGTTTGAGGTTAAGTGGATTAAAAGCATTCAACAGCATCATCTCAAGATATCTCGATATAGGATATCAAGTGGGTACACTGAAATTTTTCGAGGTGAGAAATAATCAGTCGAGTTATAATCTTCTGAAATTCGCCTAGGCGATAGTGATCGAAAGTTTAAAACCGGATCTATGTATACAAAACGAAGAAGTAATAAATCCTTCTTTGTCCTGGTAACATCACATTTTTTGCTGCATCATTCATTATATTAACTCTTTCTAATGTTTGATTGCGTCATTATCATTTTTCTTCAATTCATAACTGGCCATTTCAATTCATATCCTTTATTACTATTAATCTGTTTCTAGTTACTTCATTACACAACCGTCTAGTGTTTTTTAACTCTATGATTCCTAATTACTAGTTCGATGTTCTGGAACTTTACCTCTCACATTTTGGAACAAGAAAACTAACTATGACTTTATTTACTCTATTGGAATCTTCGCTACTTCATGATACACATATTCATCTCTAATTACCTTCGTATCTATATGTATGTCACTATCTGTAACAACTTTCACTTCAAATATCATAAGTTGTAAGCAACTAATGAAAACCTAACGAAACAAAATGAATTCATGCTATTCTGCACCAATCTATGTCTAGTGAAAATTCCCATTTCGCCATTTGGTAAATAAAGAAGGAACGAATTGAGCGAAGAAATTTCTTTTCAATTAGTTTTTCATCATGGCTCTACACTAATATATATATACGTTTTACAATAATGATATAATACTCGTCGAGTGGATACGTTACGTAATAATTACATAATGACATTTAAATTAACATTCAGTAATTGGAAGAGAGAGGATTATTAATATTCAAAGTAATCAAGAAGTTGCTATGTTGCGTAATATAAGAAACAAAGAAGGAATAGAATTTTACCGGATGGTCAATAGGATAGTAGTTACGTAAGAATCAAGAGATGAATGTTGAGAAGTTATAAGGCTCAAAAGCGATAGAAACAAAATTACAAAAATTTTAATATTAAAGTAAAATGGAAGAAGTATGAAAAATAGTTCTTCTGACGGAAATGTTATACTGAAGGCCAGGGTAGAGAAAGTGGTTGTACGAATTTCTTTTGGATGCAAAGGTCAGGTTTGTGAACATGGATTGCGATGGCTTCCGCAATGTGCAAAAGGCGCACTCGTAAACCATGTGGTAGATTTGATGGAATATTGTAGATAACCTTAAAAGCTTTATTCACTTCGACTTGATGACCTGTGTCAACCAAGTGAGAGAGAATAGAACTTTTAATCACTTTCACCTGTCCTTTGCTTAGCCATGTTGGATGATGTTCTGTAATGCGGTGACGGACCTGTCGAATTGTACGCCCTATGTAACTGGCTCCACAGGAGCAGTTGAAACGATAGATATTCCATCAAATCTACCACATGGTTTACGAGTGCGCCTTTTGCACATTGCGGAAGCCATCGCAATCCATGTTCACAAACCTGACCTTTGCATCCAAAAGAAATTCGTACAACCACTTTCTCTACCCTGGCCTTCAGTATAACATTTCCGTCAGAAGAACTATTTTTCATACTTCTTCCATTTTACTTTAATATTAAAATTTTTGTAATTTTGTTTCTATCGCTTTTGAGCCTTATAACTTCTCAACATTCATCTCTTGATTCTTACGTAACTACTATCCTATTGACCATCCGGTAAAATTCTATTCCTTCTTTGTTTCTTATATTACGCAACATAGCAACTTCTTGATTACTTTGAATATTAATAATCCTCTCTCTTCCAATTACTGAATGTTAATTTAAATGTCATTATGTAATTATTACGTAACGTATCCACTCGACGAGTATTATATCATTATTGTAAAACGTATATATATATTAGTGTAGAGCCATGATGAAAAACTAATTGAAAAGAAATTTCTTCGCTCAATTCGTTCCTTCTTTATTTACCAATCTATGTCTGCCATTTATTATTATTGAAAATCAGCACAATGGTCTTTTTATTTCACATAGTTCTACATTTATCGACTAGACAGTATGATGTTGATCATTGAAGTAGTTGATTTGGTAGTGATGTACTCTACATCCGAAATAAAATCCTGGAGTACAATGTGGATTCTTTTTTTAAGAGAATAGTAAAATCTCCACATGCAGTGGGAATATACCGTAATCATGCAATATCACTACATTCCACTGTTTACTTAAAAACATATGACAGGAAGATTAATAATTTGCAACAGTTTTAGTTCTAAGGATACATTATCAATACGGAGAACATTCTGATAGTCATTTTATAAATGATTATAATAAGTATAGTAATAATTACAAACAACTAATGTATACTTACGAATAATTCTCCCTTAGGTATTTCTTCGTTCTAGACAGACCTCATCATGAAAAATTTCGACTGTGTTTCAACCCTATCGTTTCATCGGACAATTCCACGATGTCAACAGAGAGGATAAATGCATTGGTAACCAGTGAAGAGTCAGAGCACAGTAAGTTCCAAAAGTATTTATATTTTATCTTAACTACTCGTTAAGAAAAAGTAGTTAGATGTGTATCAATAAAACGTGTGCATTTCAGGATTTACATAATGCCAGTAGGTACAGCGTACAGATGAACATTAAACAACATGAAGTATGTTTCTTGAATTTCATATTTTTTGGAAATTACTGGAATACATCTTAATTATTCAGTTACTTTACTTTGTGCAAGGAATATTTTTCATATTTTGTTTAATAGCAAACACTTGTATTATCCATTTAATATACGTAGTTTCTTTCTCTTCCTACAAATGTATGTCATAATGACGATTTAGTTGAAATCGCTAATGACAATGATGTAATAACTGATTCCGATGGGTATATTCAACTGAGAAATGAAGATGATATGGTTTATCATGACAATTCACAAGTTTCCAGTTATTCATCTCTACCTGTTCTACATCAACAACAGCCTACATGGAAAATAAAACTACAGCTGTTGAAGGTGCGTTTTTTTCTAATGTGTTTTTGATATAGATGTATTTGTAACAGTCATCTCGAATAGGAATTGCTCTCAAATGCCCTGGTACGGCCGAGGGTGGGGCGAGTCAGCTCTTTCATGGCCACGCGTATACAGCCACTGCCATGTAAGTCCTACTCACTGCCTTCTCACGGCATTGCTTTTGTTTACGAACTTGAGAAGGCGAAAGCGAATGTCCGGTGCTTTAACAGGATTGGTGGATATGGAGGATCCACCTAGGGGAGTTGGAAAACCCTAATTCCAAGCCAGTGGTGCACGTGGGCTTCAGGATCCTGAGGGAAAAAATGGCATATAAACCGGTTGTTAGTCACCGGCTACCATAGGACTGCACCTCCTTTCGTTGTTGCACTGCCTTGTGGATTAGACCTCTACGTCAAAAGCTTGAAGAGTGGCACTGGACAGTATTCCAGCCTTTTCACAAATTGAATGATTTATGTGGTGCATATGTATTTGGTGCCTCCTTGTACCAACGCTTGTGTTTGAATGAGAGAAATAAAAAAAATATTAGGAATTGATGTAGTAAATGAAACTTCATTGTTTGTGAATATTCTCTTTGTCATGATTTAGTTTTCGTTATGATGGCTCTTAGTAATATTGGTCTATGATGAAGGGAGCATTCCAGGGTGTCAGTTCATCATGGTTATGTAGAACTGAATTATTTGAATTGAAGACTATCTCCAAAAGTTGTTACCATTAAGTTTTTATTTTAGTATGGTGATTTTATACGGATAAATATACACTAAGCCATAATGTTTGTTGAACAACTTATGACCTTACCATCATAGCAGTGGATAATCATCACTTCGGCTTTTTTAGTTCATGGTCAATGTAAATTTGCAATTGCGCTAGTGTAGACTCGGTTTGTAGAGTATCGTTTTACAAAACACCGTCAGACCTAGTGTTTGTCATGATGAAAGTAGTTAAAATTATACAGCACTTTAAGTATAGTTTAAATGCGGTCTAATGATAAAGTATTGTAGTAGTTATTGGTTCAAACTCCGCCCACCTATCTCGGATTGAGAAACCGGCTGTTATCACTGTCCTTCACATTTGGAATAAGACTTGTAGCTATGTGTATAAATCTGTACGTGGTATAATATGATGTGATGTAGGTTTATTAATTCCAAATATTAAACTTCAGGTCTCGTTCTTTTTTATTTTACTGAAGACAATTAAAAACTATTTTCAAGTTTTCTTCTGCTAGTACAGTGTAATAAAAGGTATTATCAATTAAAAATTATTTGTATCATTCTTTAGCAATACAAACTAACTGATTCCAACTCATCATTCTACAAAAGATTTGGTCGGTTAAAGAACCACAAATGCAGACTATTATTTGTTATCAGCATGGCGATTTTTGGGGATTGTAGTATTTTCAATTGAATTTACAAGTCGATCTAAGTTAGATCACCATTGATAACCTGAAAACACTAGACCGCTGTTTCGTTTTAGTATGGGACTCCTCAGCGGTGCAAGATCATGGGTCATGGATTGATTAACACTGTTGGATTCTGACTTGATGGTTTACAGCTTAAGCGTTTGCGTGAGAGATCGAAGGTCTGAAGTTCGACTCCAGCGTGCCGGGTTGTGGATGCGCACTACCGAGGAGTCACACACTTGGAACCTGTTTGTATGTACATCTGTCCAAGTTGCCATATCTTATTAGCACATAGATATCAAGTTGTCAGACCAAATCCTTGAATAGCAGATGTAGTAACAGTATTAGTGGTATTAGGAAATATTAGGCATTGACAGTGTGACGTGAGAAGAAAATATAAACTATTGAAATAAAAACAAAAAAGGTTGTGGGGAATTTTGAATCTCAGAATTTGGGGAAGGTAAAGAATGGATGCACCTGTGCCTCTCTATTGCACAATCCAGTGGTTGTCTGAACTCAGTAACTATATGGATAACGCGATGGCGTTTAAAAGAAACGGTACTGGGTTCGAGTCTAGGATTGTGTAGGAAGTAATTACGTACGGATGGATTTCTTAAGTAAGTTTCTATACTGTAGCACACATAGTCTTAGCAGGACTATACTGAAAACAAGTAACTTTGTATACAGCCGAAAATTGTAATCTTTTTCGAAAATGTAAATATACATATACAAGAAACAGAGATAAAATTTTCTGTCTAAATCTGTATTTTCTTGACTGATTATAGTCCTTTGATCAACGGGAAAATAAATTAAAACTTAATTCCGATATTATCATATCATTGTTATCTCTTTATTCATTTCCATTCATTATAGGGAATGTTTAGTTCATTATTTTGCCTAGTTTCAGTTTATTTCTTCGAATATTTAATTAATCAGTCATTGGTAAGTAAATTGTGTCAATATATTTATAAACTATTAATATTATGTAAATGAAATATGTAAGTTCTAGTTAATAAAGGTTTTCAATTATCCCATTATTGATATTTAGCGCTTAATTTTGAATAGTTCTGCGCTAACATATGTTCATATTGTGCGGATCGCCTTGATATAACTATTTTATTTTAAGTTCTTTTACAATAGATAGATTTTATCAGAAGGGGTTTTGTGGAGATTGTTGTAATTTCAATGGTTGAAATCATGAGTCAATTGAAGCTAGACCACCATGGAAAACCTGGAACCACTGGACGGCCATTTCGCCCTATTGTGGGACTCCTCAACAGTGCGCATCCACGAACTCGCCTTGCGCGTGAGCGCTTAACCATTAAACCACTGAGGCGGGATTCAACGGTGTTAATGTCTAACTTCAACCAATCCACGAAATTGAGCGATACATCCACGATTGTCATCAGTGAGTTACTATCTCATAATAGACCCGGTTGAACTCCACTGGTCACTGCTTCTCACTAGAATTCCAGGATATATATATATATATAGAATTTAGCTAATAATGGATGTGTTGCATCCTCGATATGTCCACCCAATAATATACAGGAGAGAATTTTTCTCGATATAGGTTAAGGCCTTGAATCGATAGGCTAATGGGTTTAACCTTGATTCTAGAGTGTGTGTGAGCTGGGAATGCAAACTAAATACCTTAGGTAAAGAGATGAAAACTATCCTATCACGTGATTGGTTGACATGCGAGAGAGAGAGAGAGAGAGAAGACGAGCCAACCGGAACACCGCACGGTTTACTTCCTCTTCTGGTTAGTGAATAAATAGATTACTAGCACGACCACAACTCACAGACAATTGGAAAAATACAATTACGTCTAAACTGGGTATTAGGGTAGAAAAAACAGTGCCTAAGTTGGTGCTTAAATTATAATAGCTTTGGAACAGAAAAAGGTATGGCAGTGAATCACATCAAACGGAAGCTTATGGTTTGTGGAATAAACTAGGGACAAATTTAAATATGGATATGGATGCGTCGCTCAAGTTTGTGGATTAGTTCAAGTTAAACATTAACACCATTGGTTGCCGACTCAGTACGCCACACAAGTCACTTGATTTGTGTATGGGCTGTGATACTGTCCGGGTGCCTAGACTGAAGTAGGTGATTTTCTTGGTGGGCCACGCCCGGAGCCTCCGACCTAAAGGTCTGTTTCGGAAGGCAGTGAAGCAACGTCAGGTGATGCAGTCTCATGGCAGCCAGTGATCAATAATTGGTTCATACGCCATTTGTTCCCTCGGGATCATGGAGCCATTGGTTAGGAGTCAGGATTTTCCAATTTCTCTAGGTGGATCCCCCAATACATTTACCCAGAGAAAACATCGGACATTCGATTTTCGTCTTCTCATTTTCGTAAACAGCACCCGGCCACGAGAAGGCAGTAAGTAGGACTTCTTTGGCAGTAACCATGTGATGGCATTTCGAGATAGAAAGAGAGCGGACTCCCCCCACCCTCAGCCGTACCAGGGCATTTGGGGGTAATATCTATATGGAATTAACTATTATTGTTCAAGTATCGTCATTTGATCACTGATCTATGTAATCTTTATTTATTAGATGAAATTTTGTTTACATACACTGGATAGCAACACCAAGTAAAGTAACTGATTCAATAGTTATAGTCTTTGCTTATTTTCAGTCACTATCCCTTTTTGATTATACAACATCACTCAAAATCAGTCACAGTAACATAGATGTATTTTTCTATTATTCTTTCTCTAAATCTGTAACTTATATGAGATATGTTAAGTTTAGTAAGCAGACTTTTATGTCAGATCTTGTCTATTACTTGGTTTCGAAATGGCCAGTCAAAAACAATACGTAGCTCTGTCTTGGCACACCTGGTTGACAGTGGGCATGTAATAGATAAAACTGAATTGTACACCGTCATTTCTCCTTACGGTTCGGTTTCGTCTCTTACTTATAACAGAAGCTATAGGGATTCGGACCCATAACCCCTAGTTTATGTCCTTGTCTTCTTCAGTATATAATCAATTACACACTTCTTATTGCGTAATTTTGACGATGTTTTGTGATTATTGTTTTCAAGTCTATTTATCCACATCTGAACTATTGACTAGAACTTTTGTTATTTTATTATACTTATCACTATTACTAGTATACATACGCACTTACTATCAATTTGTCCTTCTCACCCATTATGTGTAGTTAGTTATGCAATCTGTTTCATTATGATCATTGACTCATAAATTGCCTTGATTGGTATAATATTTTCATATAAATATTAATGTATTTTAGAGTAACGTCTGATGATGATCTAATTGAAAACGATATTCTTCGCTTATATGCGTTATTTTGATTGATTGTTCATATTATTCCTTTGTTGAAATTATTACTACTGTTTTTTTATTTCCGTGTTTCTTTTCAGTTTGAATTACTTTACTTTCAAAATACACGTTTAACTGCTCCAGAACAATATAGATGGTGAGTAAAAATGTACAAGGATTTGAGTAGGATATTTGCTGTAAGAGATTTTCGCACTACTAAGTTAATTCAGTCACCAGATACTTGAGTATAAGCCACATTCTAAGTCCAGGTAGCTAATGATACCGGTTACCCAAACGGAAGTAAGCGTGTTGGGGTTTGAACCTGTGACATCGTACCTAATAGTCCGTCTCCACACCTTGATACTACTACCATTTAGCTTGCCGAATTGAATTCAATTGAGTAATCGGGTCCCAGGTTAGTACTGATTGTTCGAAAGTCGAATGTATTTTACACTTTTCTACCAATCAGTTTAAGAGTATTGTGTTATTTTTTTATTCCCTCGGAAATATTGATCGATTACATATTAATAGACCCGGAAGTTTGTGTTTTTTCTGAACAGTTTTTATACATTATTCACTTAAGAGATATTAGTATAGGTGTAAATGACTCAGTGTCTACGCTAATTCTGTTTGCACTTCTGATCTCCATTCCCTCCTGAACTAACTACCTTTTGCATATTACAGTATACTACTTATCAACATTAAGTAACTTACTTCACTTTCAGTTATTTTGAGCATTTTTGATGTAAGCCCAATTTATTATGTTCTTTTGCTAAGCGTTTACATGAACCTGCGACGTTCAGTTTATTCACTAATGTAATTGGAACTTCTTTGGAGTTGTAGCAGTTACTTGGAATTTTTGTGGACTCATTTATTCTCGATTTAATTTTAACAGGTATCATTTGTATTCTTAGTCTCCGTTTCGATCACTGCCCAGTGTTGTCATTTTGACTTAGCTGCTAGTTGTTATGAACGACTTTCAAAAGACGCCAAATTGACCCTGAGGAAATTAAACTTAGAGTCTAAAGAGGGTTATAAATTACTGTGAGAAATCAAAATCGAGATTTATAGTTAGGGTTTCTCCCATGAACTGGAAGCAGGTATAATGCCTAAATGCCATTCAGCCGTATGGATGAACAAATTTCATGCAAAAGTTTAAGACTCGCTATGTAATTGGTTCGTCCGTAAACTAGTCTAATCTCTATCGTGCTGTTTGCGCTATATATTGACCTGGTAAACGCCGTAGACACCTCATGAATTTGTTTGTGTAATATCTTGCATATTTTTGTGTATTAATAGTATCGTATCCTGGACAAAATCTATTGTTTTGAACTTCCAATTTTTACACATAACTTAGTTGTTTGTTCAGAGCTTCGGTAGACTCAAAAGAATATGTGAACTCGGTAGCTTAGTGGATAACTCGATGGATTTTGTAACAGTAAGCGCTAGGTTCGATTCTCTGTAAATATTAACACATGGATCCAGGTACACCCAGCCCTTGAATACCAGACAGGATGAAACACTCCTCCTAGACTCCACTTCTAGTTATAGTCCAGTTCATTACTTGTTTCAAAGCTTTAAAAAACGACTTTTATTTTTTAACTGTTCAGGAACTCCTTAAAAGTGTAGAAATTTTTGTATTTTTTACGCTTCGGGTTTTTATATGAAAATATTTGTTTCTTCTGTACATCAAAGTGATGTAAATGATATTTTCAAATTATTTTACTCATAGCTGAGAACCATCTACATGAAACGTGTGATGACAAGCTTTTGTTTAAGAGATGAGCTTATTATTTGTCTCAAGTTTTTGTGGATTGATTTTAGTGAATCAACGTTTTAAAAGCATATGATGCAACAGTAGTCTTCGAATCAAGATAATCTACCTAACAACTAAGTAACAATCATGTGCTCGCTAATTAGGTTAGCTTCTATGTGTTGGTTCCTTTAATTGGTATTGAGTCATTTTAGCTGATGTCAGTTCGTGATGAAAGCCATAAATCAATCCTAACCCTTACTATAAACTGTAAATCATAATCCTCATTCTTCACACTGCTTTATAACCCTCATTTAGCCCCAATCAGTAGGTAGGCGTTCTCAAGGTCACTCGAGCGTCGTTCAAAGATCGTCCATAAATTGTTGTCTCACCGAGATAGTTGCATGAGTCCTTGTGAAAAACTGTTACCCGCGGAATTTAGTTCGTCGAGTGTGACGCAGTTACCTATCAATAGCGTTGATGAAATTTGTTTGCACAATATTGTGAATTGTTTGAAATTAGATATGTAAACTATTTGAAGCGAACTTAGTGGTTGAAAGGTTAAAAACATACTGCTAGACCTGAAAATCGTGAGTTTGGTCCTATCGGTTTGTGAATCTTCACCTCTGAGGAGTCCTACACTAGGATGAAATAGTTGTTTTGTGCTTCTTGTTGTTCACTAGTTGCTTAAAATCAGTCCGTGATATAAATTATGGAAAGGTAATTAAGTGATTAGTTCGTTCGAATTTCAGCCACTGAATCGCATTTTCGAGCCCCGCTTCATCTACTACAGCTTAGTCAACTGAATAGTATCATTAGTTCTTACAATTCGAGTGTGGCTCAAAGTCAGGTACCTGGAGAATGAGTTAATTTTATTTTTTTGAGCATTTCTTGCTTTTGTCATTTGTTTTATCGCCATTGTTATTAGTTTTCTCACACATTTGTATGTTGTTTTGCTATATATATATACAGTCAATGAATTATTTTCGCAGAAGCAAAGTTTAAAAGTTTACTTTTGTTTGCTGTCCATGTTATTATTATTATTATTATAGAATGTTAACTTACCATACCAGTTTAATACTTGATGATACACTAAACAATTGTTATTATTATTGTCCATAGTGTGGTGATACCGTTTTGTTTTTTTCATTGATTTGCTCCCAGAGCTCATTGAAAGTGTTGTTTAAACTAGAGATAAATGAATATATTTTACTAAAGACCTAAATGTACACACTGGCATTACTAGATCAAGTGGACAACAACGCATAAGTATCAAAATATTTTTAATTAAAGATATAAACATACATTATGTATTTAGTAAACTAATACACATTTAATAACATAATTATCAGATTCAAGTGTCACTGTTCAGAAATTTTAATTAATGTGTTGTGTATTATATAAGACAGATTCTAGTTTAAAATGTGTCATTTGAGACTTGTATATCAATAATGCAAACTATTAACTAGCTATGGAGAGTTTCTAATAACTAACTTCTTCTTTTAAGATATATGTTATTGTTGTTGCTGTCCAAAAAGGGTATGAAATTGTCATAGTTAAGCCATCCAATTCGACGAATATAACAATTTCAACCTATGAATATTTTTGATCATTCTCAAATTCTAGATAATTATTGTCTCCTTTATCTATCTTCATATGATTTTACACTTGTATATATATATATATATATATATATATATATATATATATATATATATATATATATATATATGGTATTAATAATCTTTGTTACTTCATTTTTCCAGTCATCAAGGTTTAATACTTAATCTTGTGTTTTACGGTTTTGAGCAGCAGCTAATAAAAACCGATGAATTCATATTAGTCTACGTTAAATTCTCACCTTATTTAAGCAGTTTGTAATGGATATACTAACTTATGTCTATTCTGTCTGCTTGTTCATTACTTTCAAACATTATGTCGTGTTATACTATGTCTGATTACTTGATTATTTCTCATCTATATTACGGTTGGTTAAGATTTGGACTATATCATGCTATATTTACTCATTTACTAGGTACAGATTCGTGTACTTACCTTCGAGTCACACTTTAAGTGTGATTGTGGCTAGTGGTACAATCCAGTTTCTCAGACTGAAGTAGATAAAATGATGCTTGAATGTTCAACTTAGTGACTAAAAGTCGAACGACTTAACTATTGAACCACTACCCCGCCTTTTTCTCTTACTGTTTTCCTGTTAATAGATTTTCAATGTTGTTTTTTTTCGAAGATTAGAACTCATTATATGCTGATATATGATTACTACAATCATTACATACCACCATCCCCCCATCCCCAGTAAAAAAAACAGACAATTTAACCATGATTAAATAGATCAAATTTTATTGATAAGACTCAAAGCAAATGAAAAATTGTATAAAAGACAATAAATCTGATTGCCGTGTTTCTGTGCATGAAATCATTTATCTAATGTCAATAATATAGAAATTAGCTAATAAAATTAAGCAAAAATTTATCAGTTCATGAAAATATTTCTACTTTAATTTTTTGACTAATTAATTACTCAATGAAAAATTAATTAATTAATTTAAACTCATTCACTAAGTTTACGTAATCAGGTTGAGATGATAATTTATGGACGACCTAAAATGACCGTAAACATGTTCACCTATTAACTAAGACTAAATGTGTGTTATAACCCAGTGTAAGAAATTAGGAATTAAATTTAGGGTTTTTATCACGAACCGACATAAGCTAAAAGATCAAAACGTTATTTAACCAAATAAAGAACTCTTGAATCGACCAGCTCCACTGAACCAACCCAATATCGAGGCAGCACCCACGGACCACCCAATCGATGTTGGCCCACCAACAATTAAAGAAATCAGCATGGCCATCAGACAAATCAATAATGGCAAAGCAGCAGGATCAGACAACATTCCAGCAGAGGCACTGAAAGCAGACGTAGCGGTAACTGCAAGGATACTCCACATTCTCTTCACTAAGATTTGGGATGAGGAACAAGTACCAACAGACTGGAAAGAAGGACTTCTGATCAAAATACCGAAGAAAGGCGATCTCAGCAAGTGTGATAACTACAGGAACATCAATCTTCTCTCAATACCGGGAAAAGTCTTCAACAGGGTATTGTTAGACAGGATGAAGGACTGCGTAGACGCCCAACTTTGAGACCAACAGACAGGATTTCGTAAGGATAGATCGTGTACAGACCAAATCGCAACTCTACGTATCATTTTAGAACAATCAATGGAATGGAATTCATCGCTCTACATCAACTTCATTGACTACGAAAAGGCTTTTGATAGTGTGGACAGAACAACACTATGGAAGCTTCTTCGACACTACAGCGTGCCTCAGAAGATAGTCAATGTCATACAGAATTCATATGATGGATTAAACTGTAAAATCGTGCATGGAGGACAGTTGACAAAGTCGTTCGAAGTGAAGACCGGTGTCAGGCAAGGCTGCTTACTCTCACCCTTTCTCCTGGTGACCGACTGGATCATGAAGACATCGACATCTGAAGGGAAGCACTGGATACAGTGGACATCTAGGATGCAGCTGGACGACCTAGACTTTGCAGATGATCTGGCCCTTCTATCCCAAACGCAACAACAAATGCAGGAGATGACCAGTGTAGTAGCAGCCTCAGCAGCAGTAGGTCTCAATATACCCAAAGGGAAAAGCAAGATTCTCAGATACAACACAGCATGCACCAATCCAGTCACACTTGACGGAGAAGATTTGGAAGATGTTAAAACTTTTACATATTTAGACAGCATCATTGATGGACACGGCGGATCTGATGCAGATGTGAAGGCGCGGATCGGCAAAGTAAGTGCAGCATATCTACAACTGAAGGATATCTGGAACTCAAAACAACTGTCAACCAACACCAAGGTCAGAATTTTCAATACAAATGTCAAGACAGTTGTACTGTATGGTTTGGAAACTTGGAGAATTACGAAAGCCATCATCCAGAAGATGCAAATGTTTATTAAGAGCTGCCTACGCAAAATACTTCGGATCCGTTGGATAAACACCATCAGCAACAACCTACTATGAGAGAGAACAAACCAGATCCCTACGGAGGAAGAAGCTCTGGAAGTGGATAGGACACTCATTAAGGAAAGCACCGAACTGCCACACAAGACAAGCCTTCACATGGAATGCTCAAGGCCAAAGGAGGAGAGGAAGACCAAAGAACACATTACGCCGGGAAATGAAGATAGACATGAGAAAAATGAACAAGAATTGGATGGAACTAGAGAAGAATGTACAGGACAGAGTGTGTTGGAGAATGCTGGTCAGCGGCCTATGCTCCATTGGGAGTAACAGGCGTAAGTAAGTAATTTAGCCGAATAGACGAATACATTTTGTGCCAACATCCAAGACCTATTATCTTATATCTTGTTGGTTTGCTCATAAATTATAGTCTCGCCGTAATCATCATTGAATCATATTTTTTAATTGTATGTTACTTACTACCTGATTGTCAAAGTCAATGTAGACTAAGCGAGGTTAAATGATGAGATTTCATAATTGAAACGCAACGGCTTTTTTCTTTTTCTTTCAACTACTGAACCATTGAGAATTGGCCTATTGTAAATTATTGACCTCTTACTACTACTACTGATTTGCTTTGATCGAATATCTTCCTTTCTCTCTAAAAGGAGTCCGATACTAGGATGAAACGACCGTCCAGTATTTTCTAGTTTTCAGTGGTGGTCTAGCTTAGATCGACTCGTGAATTCAACTGTGAAAATATTACAATCTCCACAAACCCCCAATCTGATAAAAGAACATATGTTGTCAGTTAGTTAGCTGGGTCAAGATGATAATATTTTATAAGATTGTTTTTTTTAAACTGTACAGTGTTGTTATTCGTTACTTGATATTTATTATATTACAAGCAAGAAGTCAATTAAGCAATAAAGATGATACTTTTATAGTTTAAGTGTTTTTTGAAGAATATTTGAATTAGTTGATAGGTATTTGTTACAGACTAATGTTAGTTAAAGTACTATTTAGCATGCAATTCAAATTCATTGGTTCATATTTTTGACTTCAATTAATTTTTCAATATATCTTGGAGATCATTCAAAAACATCAAGAGGATTGTTCAATTCTTAAGATGTTTAAACTTCACCGTATAATGCTTTTCACTAGATTTATGAGCATTCATCTTGAAGTTAGTCACTAGTATTTAAATGACTAGATACTTCAATAGAACAATGAGAAGACCGATTCGATCAGAAAAAGGTAATTCATTTGAGCTATACATTTTGATAGTTGATTTTATGAGCCGCTTTATGCTAGACCACCATTGAAAACGTTCTCACTATTGCTGTCTAGTGAATGGCTTCAAGATGGATTTCCTAGAGTTCTGGTGAGAAGCTGTGACCAGTGGAGTTCAATCCGTATCGGGCAGAAACAGGTATTTACCTCAGACAATGGATGAAAGGTCGCGTGATATCATAGATCGATTGAAGTTAGATATTAACACCGTTGGATGCTGGTTCATTGGTCTAGAGTACAAGCGTCCGTGCGCGAGACCGAGGATACTGTATTGGAGTCCCGCATGCAGACCGTGAGTACGCGCTGCTGAGGAGTCCCATTGATGTAGATTCTATGTCCCGTTTCGATTATGTGCTTTGCTATCAATCAACATAGTTTCCTACATCCACGTTTATTGGAGCATTCGTCACTAATTGGTTCTAAGGCCATCTGGACATATGTTCCATAACATTTGATTTTATTGCTCGATTACTCCTCCCTTTGTATATGTGTCCAAACAAACATGTAAATTGGTTAATACCGTACGATGCGACGAGATCGTTCGATTATTTTTAGGTCTATTTTGAATCCTAAACATAGTCTTTTCAATCACAATCAGTTTAACAGCATAATCTATTTTCTTGATGGCTACTTTTATTCTCTGTCTCAAAACTATACTGTTTAATTCACTTCTAAATGATAGAGAGATATAAAATTCTTTTCTTCGCAGTAGAATTTAAAAAATTATTAGTGTCGGTTGATTTTTACACTGATTTATAAACATTAATGAGCAATCGTTCAATATCATTAGTTTCATGTCTTCTTCAAACGTATATGTATTATTCTTTCTGTACTATATTAAGTTTCTCCTTTATATACAGTTGTTACTTTGTGTTTTTATTTGAACTTTCACTCATTTGAGTCGAATTAACTTTGGCAAGATTATAATTTATGGACGAACCAATTAGATATAACAGATCTTGGATTTTGGCGCGAAATTCATTCACTCATTTGGTTAAATACCATTTTGGTATTATAGTTGATATCAGTTCGTGATGGGAATATTTAATCTAATTTTTAACCTCAACGTCCAACTGTAGATCCTAATCCTAACACTAATATATAACCCTTATTTAACCCTAATAAGTAAGTACGTGAACATTCCAGGATCAATTTAGGGTTGCTCAAATACCACATCATTATGCGACGGATATGTCAAATGTAGGGCAGTCAGTCACGATTGGAGAAAAATTACAACATAGTTCTTTCTTTAGTAGAAAGTATTCCAAAATATCTCACTGAGTGACTAATTAAACGAAAACATAATCACAGTTGCTGACTGCTAGGTTTGAAGCGGTTACGAGTTCACTTAGACTGCGAACGGAACAAAGACTGGTGACCAAACACCAGCAAACTAGCTATTCTGTTGCGTCCCAGCCCCACTAACTAGAGAAAGAAGTCGAAGTCCGAACAGGGAAGTATATTTTCCTCAAAAAGCTAGAAGCACGAGCGATAACAACAGACACAACTCAAAACGTATACATACAGTACAAAACCGCCCGTGTGATGGGTTAAAAAATAGCATACTAAAAGATACAACGGACCAATAGCGTTTAAGATTCTCCCAAGTGGGGAATGCAACATGAAGGCAAAAAGAGCGCTTTTGGCGCGAAAACATAGAAATTCAACTTATCAGAATAAAATTACAAAATTAGGTCCTTTTCCAAGTGAGTTCTGGTGATCTAACGTCCCCAACACTGACTACGATATACTTAGATGACTTTAAAATGTGGAGTTTATCCTCAGCTCATATTAATCCCTTGATTGTATGATTGATTACATGATATAGCCTGCACATAATCCTCTTACTCGCCTAAATATTAGTCACGTAAATCGCTTGATGACCTATTAGAATGCTTGTATATATATACTTCTTAAATTCTATCAGTTCAGTGATTCTTATCCGTATTCTTATATCCTCTTGCACTGTATGCTTGTCAGTTGTTTAACCTGTGTTGTACTACAATAAACCGTAGTCACCACTTCTTAATTGTCCTCTGAAAATTATTTGTCCCTGGGAATTAGCGTATTAACGATTATCAGAGTAAGTGATATGCGAAGTATGAGAAATATCTCGAGGATAAACCACTACAATCTAGCTGGTATCAGTGAATTCCATATAGAACGAAACATGCATTCACTGCTAGACACACACACTATAAAATAGTTTACTTCAAGTATTGTTTTTATTGTTACGTTTCATTTTCATAATATAGGTATCAAGTACTTTATCAAATTGGTGTATTCTTATCAAGGTCGTCAGTCAGTTTTATTCAGTTTAAGACTACTTGGATTATGTCATTGCTACAAGTAAGTTCATTAATTTTTTTGTACTACTGATCTGTTTTTAAATAAAGTTAGACATTTATCTCTAAAGTAAGACCAGGTACATATATGCATCGTTCCTAGTTGCCATGCCTAATTAACACAACAAGATGGACACCATATTCATGGAGTCAGTTATTTCAATAGTATATATATATATATAATTGCATATAAGGATATGATACAGGAAGAAAGAATTCGTTCGTAGGGAGTAAGGTATAAAGCAATTTTATCCCCATGGTCTAAGGGAAGACAAAGAGTGTACACACCTACACCATTGTGATCGATTCTGAGTTCCCAACCACTGGTTACGATAGACGCGCGGACCCCAACTAAGTAGTCTGCACCTACCAACATGGATCAGACCAGAATTTAGTGACTTTATGGGCTGATACCACATTTTGGTCTTGCCCTCCCTAACTTTCTTACATCCATCTCCAACACTAGTCAGCATTGCGTGCCGTGGTAGTGGATGGTTGGACATATGTAATACTTAACCCAACCATCCCAGTCGATAGAGATTCACAACCTCAATTGATTTACCACCGTTCTCTGATAACATGCGTCTAACCTTATTGTTATTTACCCGGTGATCCCAACAGACACAGGTTGTCGATTCATTTTACTACTCTACTCCCTATCCTTAGTTCAGGCCGGTTTCGAAGTAACAATTTGCATTCCGAGAGGGAAAAACACATCCCAAACCTCCTGGCATTGTTGCTCAGTGCTACCAAAAGACTGCATTTTGTCAGCGTCTTCTCCAAACAGGACTATGTCATCTGCGTATTCTAAGTCAGTATGTGGGCCTCCTGGTACGAAATCAATCCCCGAAAATTCAGTCGACGATAAAATTGGGCAAAAATAGAGATAATTGACAACCTTGCCGGACACCACTTGAGGTTGCAAAATCAGATGACAGTTTGCCATGAGCTCTGACTCGGCTGGTAATGTTCTAGTAAAGAGCCTTTCATAAGGTTTATGTATTTCTGAGGTACACCTTTCAGTGACAGACACTGCCATAGAACCTCTCGGTCTACAGAGTTAAATGCTGCTTTTAAGTTAAGAGAAACCATCATCGTCAGACTGCGCACGATCGTTCCGTAGACTTTTGGTTATTCTACATTTGATTTATTTTAACTTTCATCGTGATAGGATAAGTTTATGAGAATCCATCAGTGCAACAGATGTCTCAAAAATCTATTGATTTTTCGTAACCTTTGAGTTAAAATCACTAATGAATGTCACTGTTTCTACAGCTGTTCTTATATCTTTCCGAGCGATATCTGGGTCAACCTCGTTTTCGAAATCGCCTAAGTGTGACTTCTGGTGTTCCTAGAGTTTGCCTTTGGCTTTCTCATCGCTGAGATCAACTCTTTGGTATTAATATGGTTTTTATGCATCCAGTGAGGCACAAGCAGATACGTGCTCGTATTAGAGCTTGATCAGAGTTCAAGCATGTATTCCAGAACGATCGGCAGTCTAATATCGAGCCTCTCCAACTATGATTGATATCAGTATGGTCTATTTTAGTCCATCGCTGGTTTGGTGCAAGGGGTTGTCCTGTTAGACGATGTCACTCCTCATGCCTAAAATTAGTACTTGTCAAAAATAAACGATTGCTCAGACATCGTTGCAGCAGACGGTCATCATTATTTATTTACTGAACCGGAACACTAAAATACCCACCCAAATATCTTTGTGTTTGTTTTAAGCTACTTACTGGGGGATTAAAGTCACCTGCTACTAATACTATATCTGGGTGTTTAGTTTTTCTTTGAAGTTCGGAAAGCTTTCTGTAAAATTCATCTTTCTCTTCATCTGGGCTGCAGTCAGTGGGAGCATAGGCAGAAACAACGTGTGTCCCTATCCTGACGAATTCTTGTGGATCCGTTTAGCCGAACAGCACACAGGAGACTGTTAACGGGGATCCATTCTAATGGTGCTTGTTCTGCCCTCGTACTCAGTGCTATGCCTACGCCTGCCAGTCCACTAGAACTAGCCACCGCGTCGCCAAATACATGGGGGTGTATCTCATCGGCTCTCAGTTTTCGCTAGATGAGGTCAAATGAATAAACACTAAGATCCTGTATGTATGTTTCGGAGACACAGCATACATCAATTGTACGAAATTCTAGGATATTAGCCAAAGAGATCTGCAGATTGTTTTGACATAGGATGCGTACGTTGAAGGCTCCAATGTGTAGTTTGAAGCGAGGTTTCAGTAGACCTGGAACAGTATTTCGCGCACTAGAATCGTTGGTTATGATGATACTTGAGAAGGAAGTTTAGGGTTGATAGTCGAGGTAGGTGGAATTATAGGAGTTGAAGGAGATTGATCGTGAATTAAGTGTTCTGAAGTGCTGTTAGAGGTATGAGGGTGGTTATCATTTCCCGGTTGCCCACACTGTAGAAGGGTTCTCCTAGAGGTACCTGAAAAGAAAGTCGGGTTAGGGGTGGTCTTTGTGACCTGAGGGCATGGCCTCAGTGCCTAAGGTGTAACTACTTGGGGCTGGTTATACACGAGTTTTTTGAGGGTAATTTTTATGTTATCTCCATACTTGTTGAAACCTTACCACCGGAGACAGAAATCCGTGGTATAAGGCGGAGTGGGCATTATTAGGGTCAACCTTCTCTAACCCCAATCTTCCTTTGTGGGAAGGCAGCATCACTATCATGCTGGTTGTCTGAGTTAAACACCTTACTGCTGTCACACCTCTACACAGTCAGCGGTACAACTTCGCCCTCGGACATGGTAGGACCTACAAGGACGATTGTTACAACCATTATAGCCCGGTTCGTTCATCACAATAGTCAAGCCAGACCACCACATCAAGGTAGCAGCAATGGTGGAGCTTTAAGTGAAGTAAATTGACTGGATTCTTACTAAAGGATAATAATCCTAGTTTATTTCAAGTCTTTCCTTTTTATTAGTGCCCGAAATTTTTGTGGAAATGTTTTATCTATATACATCTTACGCCTTCTCGTGGCGGGGGTGTTGTTTACGAAAATGAGAGGACGAGAAGCGAATGTCTGGCGCTTTAACCGGATTCCAAACCAATGGTGCACATGGGCTCCAGTATCCTGCGGGAACAAATGGCGTATGAACCAATTATTGGTCACGGGCTTCCATGCGACTGCATCTCCTTACAATGCTCCACTACCTTGTGGATCATACCTTTAGGTCGAAGGCTCGGGGAGTGTACCCTAAGAAAACCACTAGCTTCGGTTTGGGCACTCAGGCAGTATCACAGCCCTCACACATGTCGAATGAGATCTGTGTGGCGCATATGTATTTGGTGCCTCCTTGTACCAATATTTATGTGTTAAAATAAATAAATAAATCTTACGCCACAAAGTGATATCATTTAGCAAACTACCTCAAACTAGGAACCACTGGGCAACTACCTTGTTCTTATATTGAACTTCTCTGAGTTGTGCAATCACTATCCTGTCAGGCACTTAATCTAGAACCTTTCAATTCATTATTTTAGTCAATATCCTTTTCAATAGATAAATTCACTTTTTAATATCCTGTATGTTAGTGATGTATACAGTAGATTACCTTGATATTACCATTTAGTCATAAGTTCACAATGATTCTCAAACAGTAATTTTCGCTTCAAATTTCAATACTTTATCTACTGTGTGACTGGATCCAGATCCCTACTTAGTTGTTCAATTGGCATAAACTTTGCTTGTAAGGATTTGTACAAACATCAACACCAGGATGTAAGTACATCAGGTTGACCAGTTCAAAGCAGAATTAAATACTCGTTCTAGATTCAACCATTATCTACAATCCAACTTTATTAGAAATTGTACTTCGTTATTTTCGTTGACACCTGAGGATAACTATGAACCTATCCCACCCAAACAGTTCACTAGTAATGTTTCTGATAGGTTTGTTTACTGGAATACAAGTAATATCTAATATGTAATGAATAATGATTCTATATGTTTTTCTTAATTTTCTCAGGTCAAATCAATCATCAGGATTGCTATAATTTGTTATGACAGATGTCTAATTATAACCAAGATTCTGATACGATCGCCTCATTTTTTTCCTAATATTCATATTTTATTAGACACCATACAAAATTAGATAAGTATGGGGATTCGTGGAGATTGTAGTATTGTAAAGGTTGAATTAACGAGTCGATCTAAGCTAAACCACCATTGAAAACCTAGAAACACTGGACGGCCGACTCGTCCTAGTATGAGACTCCTCATCAGTGCACATCCATAACCCCGCATGTGGAAATAGAACCCAGGACCGTTCTCGGGTGCAAACGTCTAATCTCCAGACTACTAAGCCGGCATCCAACAATGTTAATGTCTAATTTCAATTTATTCATAATATTATTGGTTGAGGTTAAGCTTTCACGCGCTAGACCGAGTGTCTTGTGTTCGTACCTCTCATGTGGGATCGTAAATGTGCACTGGACGAAACGGCCGTCCAGTGCTTTCAAGTTTTCAGTAGTGGTCTAGCTTAGATCGACTCATGAATTCAACTGTGAAAATACTACAATCCCCACAAATCCCCAAAATGATGATACTGGAAAAGTTTAGTAATTACGTGAACGAAGTCAACAAGTAGTCATAATATGAGTGCTTCTTTATAAATTTATAAAGAATTTCAAAAGTACATATTTTATTTCTGACTAATTTATTTAATCAAACTGGCTGAACTGTATCCAATATTTAAGACTACTTTTTTTCTCTGCATTTACTTGATGACTTGTATATGTGAGTGTAATTTTCACATCAAGTCTTATGTTTAACCATATTTATGTCTTTTCATTCGACATGTTCAACTATTAATTACATTAACATATTCATAGTATACAGCTATACATAACTACTCCAACTGAAAACTTCATTTCAATATACGTTACTCATTTATAAAAATGTATGGAATATTACTGAATAAAAGAATATACTTAATGTATATTGAAAATACTGAGGTTAATCTCAATTAATACACTAACTAGTCATTACTAATTTTATTATTCATGCTTCAAAAAATGTTCAAATATCTACATGTTGATTGTGACTAATGTTAATAACGTTTGATTACTTATAGGACTTCCCTGGCAGATGCGTATATAGCCTCTGTTAGGGAAGTCCTACTCACTAAATTCTCGTGGCATTTCTGTTGTTTACGAAATTGAGAGGACGAAAATCGAATGTCCGGCGCTTTAACCGGGTTGGTGGACATGGAGAGTTCACCTAGGGGAGTTGGAAAACCCTGATTCCAAACCAATGATGCACATGCGCTTCAGTATCCTGAGGGAACAAATGGCGTATGAACCAATTATTGGTCACGGGCTACCATGGGACTGTATTTCCTTACGATGCTCTACTGCCTCGTGGATCAGACCTGTAGGTCGAAGGCTCCGGGTGTGGTCCCCTAAGAAAACCACCTGCTTCGGTTTGGGGACCCAGGCAGTATCACAGCCCTCACACATATCGAATGAGATCTGTGTGGCGCATATGTATTTGGTGCCTCCTTGTACCAATATCGATGCGTTTAAATAAAAAATATATACTCCTAATTAACTATTATCATTATTTCTTTTTGTTCAATTATCCAAACAGGCTATGAATTTTGTAATTTGTTTATTACAAGTGATCTATTCTTATATACCATATATATGGATAATGTTCATTGTGATATTTTATGAAGGATGCCTGGGTGGTTTAACTTATGTTAACACATTTTATAATATTCTTCAAGAAGTAAGTTAATAACCAATAATGACAAAAATACTTTCCTTGGTATTGTATTCTTATATAAAGAAATCTTCTATCTAATGTAATAAATAGACTTTGACGATGTTATTAGGTGGTTAAAGATCGTCTAAAGCAAATATCAAAACCAAAGTTTCTTACTAGTTGGTACTGTTCAGCAACCTATGCCTGTAATCTTTAGGGAATTAGTGGTCATTGTGAGATTTAAACATGGTTCATTCAGCTTCATAGTCTGAGATGTCATCGTTGAAGTGTTCTTGTCAATTAGGCCGAAACATAGAACTAGTGAATCTTTCCTGTCGTCCAGATCGGAGTAAGCCAAACAAGTTTCGAATTTGGTACTTAGCAACCAAAAAAATGAATACCCTTATATATTATTGGTTTTTCTCTTATTTTTAAGACTGATTCAATCAGTTAACCAATGATTTTATTGTGTTTATGTTCATCGAGTATTAACGCCTTATACAACTGATATGTACACCAAGTACAGCTTGGTGTATTTAACGGTCAGCTAAACAATTTATGTGAGAACGAAGGTGGGGAAATCCAATTTATTATATGCGAAATTACAGAGTGCCTTTGAAAAACACGATAACCATGCATCAAATACATAATTTGCACATCTTGCTTCAGTTGTCCTTTACATGCTTCATCATTCTTTCAATTCTGTTGTTATTACATTTGCTCTATGTCTGCATTCTTTTTCTTTCTAATTCAATCTTCTGCTACCGGACATTTCACTTCTGATTAGTGTTACGTATTAATTATATCTGTCAACATCAATGGCATACACAACAGTACTATGATAGCTGCCTAAATCGAAGTTAGTGTAGCGGAGTTGGAATCTAAGGTTTAGTAGCTGGGAACCAAATGTCTTAACCACTATATCACTGTTCCATTATTACTTATTTGGTATTAGGATGACATAAATGAAGTACACTACCATTTCAATGCATACAACTGAATTTGAAGTGGAATTTCTACTAATCTGTCTATTCTCTCAATGTTTGACCGTTGGAGGTAGTTGACAGGAAACAACTGATTGACTTATTTTTTGTGCTAATTGGTACTTGTTGGCTAAACGTTTCTGGAGTCTTCAGGAAGCTAATGTTCCCTGATGACTAAAAACCTTGGTCACCAAGGTTCATTCTGAAATACAACAACTAAGTTATTTCATCCACGGCTGACTTATAGTACTAAGATATTTATAATTAATTGATCACTGGTTAGTGATAACTAATTTTATGTTTGTGTAGACCTTAGTAGTAGACATTCCTCCTAGTTCAACATGTAAACATTGCAAAATGTTTCTATTAAACTGATATATATATATATATATAAAGAGAAAGAGAGAGGTTTTACCAACTCTCACATTTTTATACATATCTGTATGCATATATTTTTAACTTTATAGACTTCTCCGATCTATCGTGAATCTGCAATGGCAATGGCAACTGTATCTGATTCAATTGGCGTAGCTGGAGCTGGATTTCTATCCATATATTTACATAATTGGTTATGTAATATATTAATTTGATGATTGTATTTTATTAAAAATCATTTTCAACTAACAATCTTTACTTGTTTAATTTGTTTTTTATAACCGTAATATTATTGTTTTACATAGGATTAGGATGTTTTTAACATAACCATAATATTAATAGTAATTATTATTAATAATGTATTTCTTGATTACGTAATATGACAGTTACATTTTACCTAACCATCATCTATTGCATTATTACTCTCAATATAGTTGTTTATATCTCCTGACTAGTAAATAATAAATGAATGGATAGGTATGTCGTTTGGACGATCATCTGAAAACAAAGATTAATTACGCAATCAAAATTGTATTCCTTTTTTTTATAAGAAAAAACATTTATGTACAAAACAAATATGATTAGCAATGATATCTTTATGTATAGTCGTGAAATGCGCAGTAATATCTCATGTTTAAAACGGAAAAGATTTTTATAGTTGAAATCACTGATTAATTTTAAATAACCATTAAAAATTAGGAAGAACTAGATTGCTATTTCTTCCCGACACAGAATTGAGACGAAGATCTTCAGGTCACACAGTGAATAGTGCAATTATTTCTTAATGCCATTAGAGAGTAATTATCTCATATTCAACGAAATACCAGCTATTCAGCGTTTCCTCATTTTTAATCGTTTAATGATAGGTTCGTGTTATGAACTCTAAAATCCAATCATCTTTACTAGTATAAAGAATTGTTTGTTTTAAATTATTTTATCTAGGGTCTTTTTTGAGGACTACAACTATCCATACATAACTTTTCCCCGTGAAAATCAGAATAGTAATCTATGATTTCTTTGACTAATATCATTACTTGTGCTCTTTACGTATTGATTTATTCAGTCTTAACATATGTACTGTAGTAATGTTAAGACAGAAGGTAACATGACATTGGTAACTTATGTAGTTCACTTAACTATTAGCATATCTTAGGACATGGACATTTAAAAGGAAGTGAAATGTTTATTAATTAAATGATTGGTAAATATATCGACTAACAGTCACTATAATATTTGATAGCCCATTATTAAGTTGACATAGCGATTAATTCAGGTATTAATCCTCTTATTTATGGCATCCAAGTTTTACATAGGTCATTGAGTTTTGAAAGAAGTATAAAAGTATGTTATTATATCACAGCTACTCCTTTCATTTCACGAAACCAGATTCATCGCAAAAGAAAAATTATTCGCCATGTACTTGGAAGCTTGGTTGTTTGAATTCTACTGAACACCATTTGTTCTGTTGTCTCTGAAGTTTTGCGTGTCTATCAGTTGTATGGGAAAATTAGATTTAAAGTTAGAAGAATCCCATCTAAGTTGTGTACATTTCCAAATTTTGTGATTTAAAAAATTATATACAACAATGTACCTTACTACTATCAATATACCGTATAAGTGTAACGTAAATAACACTGATAGAACAATAATAACAAAATATCCTTTTACAAAAATAGAATTTATTATAAGATAACATGATATTGAGTACTCTTCAACGACTGAGTGATGTAAGTATTTCAGTCCTACACTAAGTCTGCTGTTGCTTGTATAAAACAGTAGTAATGTCTGTAAAATTGATCTATGTTAGTCGGTATCCTATTAGGATGGAGAAAACAGTTTATGATTACAGCGATGTTTTGTATGTGTTGAATATCAACTAACATGTGAATTACATCGAGAAATCCTTACCGATTATCTGTTATTAAATAAAATTGAAATTTAGCAGAGCTTTGTCGAGTTATTTAGTCTAATAGTCGCATTGGGACTTTCTCAACATAAGTCAATTATTACCATGAACTCGTGAAACAAAATTGATTTCCGTCTAATGATCATTTCCAATCAAGTTATTCATTCATCTTATTTGATTTGTCTAAGTACTCTACCGACACGTTCTGCTACTTATTATTTTTAATAGCAGTTGACCATGAGCTATATTAGATTACTTACGCCTGTTATCCTTCTTGGAGGTACATGGACCGACCACCAGCATTCTCCATCCAAGTCTGTCATGGACAGTCCTTTGCAGTTGCTATTCACCCTTCACATATCGGCTTCCCATTCCCGATGCAGTATATTATTTGGTTTTCCTCATTTCCGTTTCCTTTCTCGATTCCAAATAAGCGATTGTATCGTGTTGCAGTTTAGTGATATATGTCCTATCCATTTACATCGTTTTTTCCTAATTTCCTCCTCAGCTGGAAGTGGGTTTGTTCTTTCTCACAGTTGGCTGTTGCTGATTTTATCCGATCAATGGATATTGAGTTTCTTGTACAGACGTTAAATTAATCAGTTTATGACTGATCCAATTCAGAATTAGGTTTTATAAATTGATTAATAAATCACTATATTATGTATAGTTCGTCGTTCAGTGTCGTCTACAAATTCAAAACAACTGATTCAAAGTAGATTTTATTCAAACATTTGTGTACTGTTAAGATTGTAGCAACTTGCAGGTTTAAATCTGATTACTGTATACAAAAGAGTCATGTTCAGCACATAATTCTCACATGATCTTATTACCTCTTCTACTTTTGTCTTATTATATTTACCTCGTTTGTTCTGTAAATTTGTCGAGTTGTCTTTATGCATTTCTTATAGGAATTATTATTTCTCATTACTAATATATAATTTATAATTGAGGCTTGAAGGCTTTTGATAATTATCGAAATGATCCATTCATTATCCTATTTTAATCAATACCTGAAATCTGTTGATATTTTTTTTTTAACACTTCATTAATTTATGCCACTTCATTTCGACCATCTTTTATAATTCTGGTTTTACTTTTCTCTATATGGAGTTGTTTGTTAACAATCTAATCGTTCGTCAAGTCATATACTCAATACGTTGAATAACTGATTAGTATCGTTATTCTTCATTTAATTAGTGTACATCAAAACTAAATACTTTAATGTATACTTGATTAGTTACTTATAAGTGAAGTACATTAAAAAAAGATATTTGTGTTGGTTGAATATTCTGAAGAAAAAAAACAATTTTGATTATTTAATTTAGAACATGCTTTATAAACAGACTAATAGCAACTTATGTGCAATTGAGTTTGTTCACAATTAATTTGATTAGGCTTGTTTGTTAACTCCTACTCATTGACTTCTCGTGGCATTTCTGTTGTTTACGAAATTGAGAGGACGAAAATCGAATGTCCGGCGCTTTAACCGGGTTGGTGAACATGGAGAGTTCACCTAGGGGAGTTGGAAAACCCTGATTCCAAACCAATGGTGTACATGGGCTCCAGTATCCTGAGGGAACAAATGGCGTATGAACCAATTGTTGGTCACCGGCTACCATGGGACTGTATCTCCTTACAATGCCCCACTGCCTTGTGGATCAGACCTATAGGTCGAAGGCTCCGGGTGTGGCCTTATAAGCAAACCACCTGCCTCGGTTTGGGCACCCGGGCAGTATCACAGCCCTCACACATATCGAATGAGATCTGTGTGGCGCATATGTATTTGGTGCCTCCTTGTATCAATATCTATGTGTCAAAATAAGTAAATATTTAACGAACTGAGTCATCCGCGTGATTATCGTAACCAATTGTTGGAGACTGTGTGACATGGCTCAGAATCGAACACAATGGCGTAAGTGTATACACTCTCTGTCTTCCATTAAACTATGAGATTAAAATTGCTTCATATTTTTCTACGTACTAATTCTGTCTTCCTGTACTATATCCTTATATTCAATCTTTCTTTTATATATTATCACCATTGAATTAACCACTTCTATGAATCCGGTGTTCATCTTGCTGTGCTAATGCGGTATGGCAACTTGGACTGATGCATATAAGTGCCTGGTTCTACGTTGTAGCTGACTGACTGACCTTTATTATTGTTGCGAATGTATGATTATGTATGCTTGAGAATTGCTTACTACCTACTCATATATTCATTCTGCTAGCTTTACTATTAGCTGTTTAATTGATACGATGATTTATTTATTTCACTATGTGTATATATGGATGTACACTTTAATCCTGTTCACTCGACTCGCTGACTCACTCGTTTGCCTCTCCACTTTGTGTCCTGAGCTATCTGCTAATAAAACTGTAGTTTCTTCTTCTCTTTGCCTTCTGATTTAAAACACCGTTGAGGTTTATATAATAACGGTTACGAAGGTGATTGGTTAACGAAGCACAGCCACTACAAGACAACATTGTTTTTTTTCTTCTACAAAATAATTAGATCGTTTTGATGTTTAAGTCTCATATACAGTTTTAGAAAATATCCAGATATATGTAAAACGTCAAACCATTTAGTGTGATTTCTAAATTTGCCTAAAATAATGACAAATTTTACACAACAGTTATAATCACTAAGCATTCTAAGTAGTTAAGGTCTTGACAAATTAGTTATTGAAGATTATGTAGTAAAGAAAGAAATAGTTTTGTACACGTGGGAAGATATATTATAAGGAATTTCTTTATCAATACAGTAATGACGTTTATTTCAGTAGCTGGTGAAGATGGATAATCTTCATTATTGATTGAAATCTCAAAGAATTGTTCATTGTTGATTCAATAGCATCTAAGTTGATCTTAGTTCGTGTCGTTAAATATTTGCTCGAATTTGAGGTTGATCCACTTTCATCTAGACCAAATGAAATATCATACTCTAATCATATATATGTAAACTGATTACGAGGTAGTAGTAGTGTAGTGAACAAGAACACCAGTGGGGATAACCGGATGTATTTGACACAAAATTACAGAACATGTCAATAAAAACTAACAATCATTAAGTAAATGCTTAATTTGCAAAATGTTCATCAGTTGTTTCGAAATAATTCAGACTTCATTGTTTTTGCATTTTCATACCAACTGCGTTTCATCCCAGTTCTCTCCTCATCGACGTTCTTCTGAAATATATTCTGTGCCTGACCACCGTCATATACTACTTATGTGGAAATTTATCAATGATCTTGCAATATGACTACTACTGACAATCAATTGATATTGGATGAACGATATCTTGAT